ATGTGTCATTTGTATCTAAGGAACATTTTGTATTACAGGTGAATTGTAAAATGCTATCCATCTATCGAAATAAATATATCACATTCGTAAAATAGGTATCATTCAATTTACATTTTCTAATGTACAATTGTAACTTTTAATAGTTTATAAAATAAATAGAAATATCTATAAATTGTATCTATATCTATATGTGTTATAAAACCCTTTTCTTTTCGTGTGGTATAATAGACAATAGATAGAAAAAAATTGAGTATTTTTTTAAAAATATTGCATTAATTTATGAAATCTTAAATATTAATTAGTTTAAAAAATTAAGAATATACGTTTACATTTGATTGTTTTTCTAACTCTCCAATATTATTTTTTCCATTTTTTATCAAAATTTCTAATTTCCTTAATAATTTTTTAATTGATGAATATTACTCACACAAATGTTTATATTAAAAAAAATAATATTATGTATATGTAATGAAAATAATAATATAAAAATTCGTATTTCTAAAATTATGATATTCTTAATTGTATTAATAAATATAACAAGGTATAAAATACCATTGTATAAATGTAAAATGTATGCTTTATTTAGTTTTTTACAATGTTTTTGTTTTTTTCTTTTTTTATAATCACATTAACATAACACAAAAGATTCACAATCAGATTCCTTTTATTTATAATATTCTTAAAACACTCGCCACGTTCTAGACATTGGGGAAAAGAGAGAGTGGTGGTCTGAAGCAACGTTCAGGCGATTGGTCAGTATCATGCTTAATGGAACTTATATCAAAATATCAATTCAAACATAGAGCTTACAATTGTCTGTATGAACTAAAAATGAAATAAAACACTACGGCACATAAAACATAAAGGCAACTTGGTGATTTTGTGATATCCAAGCAATACTTCCTTTACAGAGAATGTACTGATTCTTGGTGAAATTAGACAACATATGTATGTATATACATATTATATTAGCTAAAATCATACCAGAACGGATATGAAACTAACGTAGATGAAACTAATTTTGGATGCACGATGTTGATAGGTCACCACATTTTTAGATCGATAGAAAAAATATAATCTTCGATTTCTTTTTGTTTCTTCCTTACTAATATTATGTACAAGTGATAAAGTAGTGTGCATTGCGTCACAATGACGTACGCCTGGATTAAGATAGGTACTTCGAAGATGTTAATTTTTGCAAATATTCGAATTTTAATCAGAGTTTTTGCTCGTGCCCCACAGAAACTATGTTTCTGTAATATATGTATCTCGTAAAATGTGTTGCAAGATGTACAATTATTAGCAATGACAATAATAGAACGCAATCTTAATCCAGACAGCGCAGAAACGAATGAGCTTAAGCATAATGTAGTAGAGACTTCTCGAAGACAAATGATGAATGAAAACGTACTTTTGCTTTGTAATTTTTATACTTCTCTCAATAAGCAAGCAACGTTTTCGTCAACTAGATACTAAAATATTTGGTCCCATTCTACGCTCGTCTTAGGCTTTTCTTTCCTAAACAATGACACTAGTTTCTTTTTTCTTCTTTTTTTTTTTTTTTTATTTATTTTGATCTTGTATTCAGTCATTTGAACCGTTTTTATGGCAGTGAAATGGAAGCAAGAATAATAATGAACGATATTTGAAACATCGATCAATTCGTCTACGGGGTAAAATCTCTTTTCTATGCACCGTGCTTGCTGATTAAATGGCAGTCGATATTTGATATTTTCGAAAAATCTAACAATATCAAAACATATGATATCATAATACATATGATCAAAATGATATTAACATCACATTAGTTTCAATGCCTTTTTTGTTTTTGAATGAATTTATAACATTGTCGTTCATACTTTGAAAACTCACTCGATCCTCTTTTGCTATGCATTACTAGGAATGGCAGTAAATCTCAAATTCATGGATTACCATAAATTATTATTATCGAACCATATAGAAATAAAAAAATTAACTTTTACAACGATCGGACGAGCGATTACGAATGGGGCCAAACGGAATCCCGTTGCATCTATATGCAAGAAACTTCAAAACTTCTTAAATAATTTATGTCAAACGATCCGTCCCGGTCCACGTTGGATCGTCATTAAAAGTCATCACCTTAAAAATCTAAGGGCTCGATTAGACACACGTACAGGCATTCGATCCTCATCCTTATAACTTCCGTCCCGATTACAAAATACAGGATAATATTTCGCTATAATACAGATTTGATATAAAAACAAGTATTTTTTTTTGTATTCACTTTACCATCCGGTTACATAATTATCGTTTGTGAACGCGCGCGCGCGCGCGCGCGTGTGTGTGTGTGTGTGTGTGTCTATATATATAAATATATATAATTATATATAATTAGATATATTAATATATAATTATATATATATTAATATATAACTATATATATATTAATATAATAATTATATATATGTATATATATATATATATATAAAATATCAATATATGTACACAGTTTAACACTCTCTCTTTTATTTTTTCGCGCCCATTTTCTTTCCATGTCTTGTCTTCGCACTCTTGTTTCTTTCCTCTTTCTCACTGATACTTTGCATCAACTTTCGTATTATCCACATTTTTTTATAATCACATTGCGACTATTGTACATTTCCACACGATCCGCAAACTCATATTTTTTTGCGATATTTCACAGACACCTCCTCCTTTTTATCTTCATCCCTGTTAATGTTCCTTCTGTCTTGCATAGCTATATATCAAATTTTTGACTCATCATCTAAATAAAATCTATGTCCTTTTGTAATGTATTGTGTAAACTAGCTGCCATAACGTTGAATGGTATATAATGACATTTCTTACAATATACAGAACGAGAAGAAATAACGAACACGTTTTATTCTGAAAATATTGCTAAGCCTAGATATTATCAAAAATATTAGATAAAAGAAAAAACGCTAAATTGGGATGTTAATAACAATTATTATATTAGTGATAATAATGATAAATATTTGCACGTTCGATTATTGCCCCGAATAGAAATTCATGGAAAACCTAGACAATATTTGCGTAAGAAGGTTCGACAAGGGACGAGTAAAAAAATTCAGTCGTTCACGTATAATATTTTGGCGTTTCGAGAAAGGAAGTGTATGTATCGTGTACAATTTAATACGATTCGCCGTTGGGCACGGGCGAACTTTCTCTGTGTGGTATACGAGTATGCAGTAGTGTATATGCTGCTTGAGCCCACGTATGTTAAAACACGTTTATATTTCAAAAGGAGGGCTCGTCTTTGGTCCCGTATGCGCATCATCAAAGCGCGTTTACGGTACAGCCCCCGACAATTGTAAATTAAAAATCATATTTATATATAACTTATAACATTCGCGATAGCGGAGATAAATTATCATTTGCAATAGATAACTAATTAATAATAGTAATAGCCATAATAATAATAATAATAATAATAGTAATAATAATAATTATAATAATAATAATGACAATAATAATAAAATAAATCATGAATAATATCATAATAATATCATTAATAATTAGTGTAATTATATAAGAACTGATGTTGTTTGATATTTTCATCAGAATAATTATTAATGAAATATAGCTATAAAAATCTTTTTGTTGATACTTTTCTTTCATATTCATAATCTCTTATAACTTTGCTTGTTTCAATTGGCTAATAAAAATTAGTATAAGAATATTACATATTATTAATTATTATATTACAATGGTAGAGATCAAGTGAATGACCTGCAGTAGTTTGGTAATGGTAAACGCGCTCGTTCGCTGCGGAAAGCGATGGTACAATCACAAAGATTTTTAGATTTAAATTAAATAACCTTATAGACTATAACTTATGTATAAATGCGTCAAAAGAGAAATCATATTAAACATTTTGGCATTACTTATTAATTATCTTTACCTATATTTGTATAAAACACTAATTAATAATTAAAAGCTTTGAGTAAAAAACACATCCATTTGGAAGAACATTAAAATAAAAAAAAAATGTTTGTCTTTTAAAATCGCGCTATAATAGAATAACGTATGTAACAATCGCATATAAGTTAAAAGGCACAAGGTACGTTCAATGGGAGCTTCTCAAAAATTACGGGTTATCATCCTAACACTTATTCCAAATATATATTGTCATCTCCGTTCTCCCTTTGAACTTCCCTTCTTCTTCTAACCAGCAGTCTCCATATATGTATAAAAATACGCTTTCCGAAGCGAAAAGCACGCGAGAATTCGACTTCACCAAGAAATCGAGGCATAAACGCTACTATGCAACCTTGGCCATAAATGTTCTCTTATATCGAACGACAAAAATATGTTGCGTTCAGTATTACTGCGATATTTGCTGTTTAAATCCAGCATTGTCCACAGAAATAAACATTTCCACAGGTCCGATCGGGACATTTATATCAATGAATTTTGCGGACAGAGAGAATTGTTGAAAGCCTTGTAATTTCGATCGAGACGCGAAAAATATTTCATGGCAACATGGAGGAATCAGCAGGAAACATTTAAAAGATGAATTACAGAAAATCGTATAATATTAGTCTTTTAACGATTTCTCGGTTCACGATCTATCACGCTATCCAATCGCGCTATCGTTCATTTCGTTTCTGCAATGTTGATGTCCTCATAATGCTTGCCGATAAAAGTTCAGCTCGACAAAAACTTAACGTCAAACGAGAAGTCTCAATATATCACCATTGATTATATAATACACTTTGTCAATTTACAATTCCGAACCAGATTCCCTTGCGCGAATTATTTGAATCCAAATGAAAACGTAGATCGGCGATTGTTGGTACTTTCAAACGCACTCAATTACGCTTTGTATTTTCTTCCATTGATTTCGTCGATCTCGATTACAAGAGAGATATCATGTTGGCTGGATCGGCTCGTTTCACAGTTTGGCATTAAACAAGAGAACAATTTACGGTGCAACGTCGAGACTATTCCTCGTCCGTGGTAATTCTCTAAGATCGTCACACCTTGTTGTGATGCCTCATCTCGTAGGCTGAGGACCGCCCGCCTCCCCCGGAGCCCGAATAGGCACCGGCGTACAGTTCTGGGTGGTTGGACCGGCCGTAGTTGGGTGCTGCGCTGTTACCGGGTGGCGCACTAGCTGTGGGAACCGAGCGATAGCCTGCTTAAGGTTTAGAAAAGTGTTCGATCGTGAAAAGAAATATCGAAGCAAACAAAACAACGATTGTAACCAGGGTAAGGAATTAGTTGCTATTGCTACATCCAATTTGTTAATTGGAAAAATGGTAAAATTTATGGCAACTACATTTATCATGCGTTTTTCTTTTCCAGTTACTACCAAGATACTTCTACCAAAATCCACTAATCATACAAAAGCCATATGTCTCAAAGATATTATCGAAATTAATGCGAATGATGCGAAAGCGAAATAAAATACTAAATACTTCGACATGAACAATCGAATAAAAGTTTAACAATGGCTTTCGTCGAATGGTTATGAAAGAAGATTAGGAGCAAATACAAGAATGTACAGCGATCATTCTCATCGTAGAACATTGCAGAACATATTAGAAGTCTTCGCCGATATTATATATCCGTAGAATATGTTTCTCTTATCAAGTTTTTATTCGTGAATTTGCTCCTGTCGAGGATATAGAGTATAGGCCCCAGCTCACCTCTGTAGGTCATAGAACGATAGTATCAGGTAGTGATGCGCGTCAATCAATGCGAGGAAAATGCAAACAGGAAAAAACATTGATGTAGTTGCAGATCACACAGGGACAAATACATAACAGCAAGCTTCTTAGCTTGAGTTTAATCCATATTTTACCAACTAATATATAAACATATGGTATGGTATGTATTTTAATGAGCAACACTTATCAGGATCAAACTCGAGCAACGATAGCTGCATTAAAAAGCGATCGAAATTATCATATAAATTTACCTTTTGGATAATACTGAGCACCTCTACCCTCTCCATAACCATGAGAGGGACCGCGAGTAGCACCATGGCCTCCTTGACTTTGTCTGGGAGGTATACTTCTGGGACCGGCCCCACCTCCACCATGTGGATGTCGCTATAAGATATAATTACGCCAGTTTTCGTTTTAAGCTAGACAAATATGACTTGTACTTTATCATTTTATTTTTTTTTTTTTATTTTGTTTCATATACCATTCTTCTCAGAGTATTCATCGGTCTTCTTAAAGTATCGCTAATACGTCTGGCTGGTGGTTTCTTAGGATTACTCGAAGGAGTATGAACGGCACAGCACTTGATGAATAAGCCCATGAAAATAATAAAGGCTATTCCCATTAACAATACTGCCCACCAGAATTCCTAAAGTAATATAACAAGTATAATCCTGTGAAGTAAAGATATTATAATAGATAAATATAGATGAAATTTATATTTACAGTTATCCATTGTGCTACTGTACGCAATGTGTCCTTATTGAATAAAAGATTTTTTAATCTGGCTAATGGTCCTTCCGCGTCAACCGCTCGACACTTCAAAAATACATCACAATATCCCTAAAATAAGCGCACGATTGCTATTAATTATATATATATATATATATATAAATAATAAATAATAAACTTATAGAAACATAACATATACAATTAGGTTATTACTTGAAAGTTATCACAAGGTGATCCAGGTCGAAGGCTAATTCCACCTTCAGGCAGACCAACAACGTGTGCAAATTCGCTGGTACTACGGCAAGTCGATGGATCAGTTCCATTTTGGCAAGCTAATTCACATAATTTACGTTTATCGATATTTGGAATTACGTTGCTAGTCAAAAAGCACTCAGTTAGATTCCATTCGAGGCAAATCGATCCCGTACACTCGCCATTGATACACAACTGCGAACAAAATTGCGAAATAAATATAATTTCCAAAATATCTATTCTAGATATCTAGATCTCAAATTTCAAAGCTTTCTTCCTCACCTGAGTTCCTTCGTTACATCTAGTTTTGTTAGCTCTTGGCAACGGTGGAGGACACTCGGAGGACCGTCCGTTACAAGTTGAATTGTAACTACAATCCGATTCAGCCTTACATTGAACATTTTTAGAGAAAGGGACGAATTGACACGATTCGCTGGAGCAACATGGCCCTTGACTAGGACTGTAAGAAAAGAAAGAACTCGTGAGAGAACTAATTACGCAAAGTGGGCGACGCATTCTGTATCATAGATTTCCAGCACTGTATCAAAACATATACCTGCACTGTGTTCCGGACTTTCTGGTACAACCTTTCGCCGTCTCATTCTTTATCTTGTCCAACTCCGATACCTGCCTTGGATAGCAACACCTGTCCACGCACTCATCGTCATCATATCCACAGTCGCATTCCTCTCCAGCTTCGACGATCTTATTGCCGCAGAATGCACCAGCAGAAGCTACACAAAAATAAAATAAGATTTACAGTTCTATCAATACAAGCATATTTCATCTCCATTAACATCATATATATATACCAGTAAAACAATTTCTTTTCTTGTTGTCTTCTATAGCATCTAAGACGTTGCTGATATTGCCAATACTGCATTTCGAAAATTTACTATTATTCGGTCGATCTCCACTCGTCGCTGACGCAAACATAATGTAATTTCCGTGCAATCCACCGGGTCTACATTCCGGTGGAAAATCGTGCTGCAAAAGACGTGCGATTAAAGTGAAACGGAATATTATAAAAACAAACGATTAGTTCGATTTACGATAAATCCTTACAGGTGATCCAAAATTATGTCCTATTTCATGGGCCAACGTCAGCTGTGACACTTTCGGAGGTACTCTGCTATTGTAATTAACAAAAGTAATGATCCCGGTATTTAAGGATCTTTTGGTGGATTGATACATCCCTCCCACAGTTTCTGTGTATGTTTTGTATCTTTCGCAAATACCACCGGATGCGCCCGATGCGGATGCTACCCAAGCAAGGCCGAGTGTACCGCCAGTAAAATCTCTGTTAATAATATATAAATCAGTGAATCAGTATTCAGTAGTGTAGCTCTCGATATGTATATTTCAAAACAGTACGCTATACTCGTACCTATAAGTGAACACATAAGCGAGGCAAAAATCTTCGTGGTTGCCGAGCGAATGCAAATTTAAAAAGTTGCTAACGTCAATGTTTTCCATGCAGAACGGATTTGGTTCTCCGTACGTTTGTTGAGGTGTGCACGCTGTGTCGTCATCGATCTATTGAACAGAATAATATTCGTATTACTTGTTATTTTTAACGCAACGGACAGATCCGTGTATCCGTGGCGCGCAAAAATTATCCAGTAATTCAATCACCTTTATCCGTTGCACTTCGAATTTAATATTTCTGTGCTTGATTCTACCATCAAACCTAGTGTCTCTATAGATGTAATTCACAGCAGTAACGTGGTGTGCGATCAGAGACAGTATCTCCTCTCGGGTCTTCTCCGCATCGTGATGTAACTGAAAGAGCAGTCAACAAAATCAATTATTCGACATTTGCTAATGCCACCTGCCGACCAATTAGCTTGTTCTATGTAAAGAGATTTTTCTTTACAATGGCATGGATATTTTCTCGAGCTAAGGATATGAAATGGAGTCATGTAAATATAAGTACAATAGGAGAATGATAGGTATCCAGAGCATTTGACAATTATGCAACAAGTTATGTGAGTATATGGTTAATTCAAATAAATATAGACTGATTATTATTGCCTTAACACTAAACGTACCAAGCGGGGTCAATGACCCCTTTTCAAAATTTACTTTAAATAAAAATATATGTTTGAGTATTT